AAAAGGAAGGAGCTTGGAAGCCTGCTCTGAATTGGAAACATGCAGAGAGCAACATTTCTTCTTCCCAGCTGCCAAAGGAGAACGTTTCTTCAATCAGGACTTGGACTTTCTTCACCCCATCTCTGCCCTCAAAACCTCATCACAAAAGCAGGGAGGGGAAGGGACTAATGAGCTGCTGATAGCCGGAGAGCAGATCGCAGAGGCTCCACTCCGTCTGCCCAGTGTTCAGACTACCTGTTCAGGACTACGAGATTGTACAGTAGTCTGCACATTGGTTAGGCTGTGCTGGGATACACCACACACTGCCAGTGCTGCACGGGGACGGCAACACCTGCACGGCAGAGGAACATGCTTGGAGAGGGTGGGCTGTGGGGATAGCTGCATGCACTCACCCCTCAGCCTTTGGAGCCATGCTTGATGATCACTTTTGCCTGCCTGTTCACCAGCCTACTCACAACCCTCTTTTTGTTCCTCCATCTCTCTCATTCCCTTCTTATTTTTTTCCAGCTTCATGCACTTGTCCCAGGGGTAGCTGTGTTCAGGATGGCTTGTTTCACATGCTAAACTCTGCCATAAAATGCAGAGAGAGGCACATGGGCCTGGTGGAGTTACAACTGCACTGTGCTTTGCTCCCTGAGAAGGCAGGATCAAGCAGAGGAAGGTGACTGGAGAAGGGGGATTTCACACAGTAAGGAATGATGGTCATTAATATAAAGAAAAACCCACAAAGGATTGAAAGTTGAAGGTTTGGATGCTCTGGAAGTTGTGCTTGCTTTGATGTTGGTCTGGAAAAGAAAGATGATAAACAGTGAAAGTATAAATGAAGACTGATTAAGACTGAGTAATTATCCATGAGAAAACATGCACTAGTGAAAAAAAGATGAGCAAATGAATTCAGGAGCTTCACAGAGGATGTAAAGAGAGAGTGTTTTCCAGAGAGCACCTGAGAGCAGTGTGAAAGCAGGAGAGGAAGAACCTCAGAGCAGACCTACTCCTATGGTCTTTGAACAAGCTGGATGCAAAAACCTGGTTGCAGCCAGATCCACCACAGCAAGTTTGAGGACTCATGAGTATCAGAGCAAAGACAAAGACAAAGACTTCTACCAGCTAAGCAGCGCCTCAAGGACACAGACTGTTGTGGGGGTAGGATGGGGAAGAACAGGGGGGAGTGCATGTGCGTGCAGCGGGGGAACATTCTCAGTATTGATCAATGTATTTATTTTTAAACTCTAATTGGGTACAAGACATTCACAGATACAGAATAAGCAGCTTTCTAGTGACTGTCAAATAAGGTCACATCTTCCCCAAGACAGGAGAGAGAATACCTTTGTACTTCACGCAAAAGATAAGGCATGAAGACAGAGAAACCTCAAGCACAACTGATGC